GGGGGCAGAGGCAAGGGTATTAAGTGAACAGAAATCTCTGCTGTGGAAAAACCAGAATTAGAGGGAAAACCAGGCACACACTGACTGGAGGGTTACGAAAAGGTGGCCAGTACTGGAGGCGGCCTCGCCTCCTCTCCCTCCGCATGCTGGTGCAGGGACTCAGCTGGAAGCCAAGCGAGGTAGAAGTGGGAAGGGTGAGGCTAGCGGAGTAAAGACAGCCAGAGAATCTCAATGTGGGTGCCCGCCATGCCACAGCGGGAACAAGACAACAAGAGGGAAGTGTAGGGGCCCCTGCCTGGAGCCTCCTGGCGGCCAGGGCCTGGCACGTGGGGTTAGGACACCAACAGGCCTCTCTGGGAATTACTCAGATTCCCGGGCTGTCCCCGGCCTGCAGGGCCGCTTCCCACCAAAAGATACACGCCTTCAGCTCTGCCTGGGAATGCTGCTCTCTACTCTCCAAGATGGGGAGCTAAGATGAAAACAAAGGCACAGTAAAGAGGTTAACAGTCACCACTTCCTCCTGGGACCCAGCTGTCCCCAACCCCGCCCCAGTCCTTCTGCAGACTGTACACCTCAACTCAAACAAATCAGTTTCTGGAGCCAATAGAAACCATCTTAAATGGCACTTCCTGGAAATCGAACTCTTCTTGGAAATGCCGTCAACTGGGCTATGGCAGCGCAAGTCGCTGCAGCTGCTGCTCTTTCAAATGACGGCAGTTATTGATAATGCTTATGGAGTGAACTCACAGCGTGTACAAGCGCTTTTAAAAATCGAATAGAAAGTATCAGAAAGCACAGCACGTGGTAAAGGTGAGTATCATTGGGTAAAAGTTTTGCTTCCTATCCATACATACACACCGCTTGTCCGTGCAAGCTTGTTGCACACACACAGCTACTGTGTCATAATGTAAAGTGTATTTCTTACAGTTCTTACTGTTGGTGAGCAAAAAAGAAAAACACTCTTCCACAACACTATAAACCTGACTTCTTCATCACAGCACATAGAAGACACATAGATTATATAATGCCCTTACTTAAAGGTAAATAAATTTGTTTTCAAGTGCAAATTACAGATTATTCCTGTTATTTCAAAAGGCAGGTTCTTTTGAAAGCAAGTAAAGAAAGTCTAAAGGCCTATAATGGCCCTTTAACTGGCAGAACTTCCCTGGATGGTCTGGTCTGGAAGACAAAGAGGCGGAATGTCAGGGGGCTTCTCCCAGTACCATCCCAAGGTCAGAGGTCAACAGGGGAGCCTGTATTTGCGGGACGTGGCAGCTCACGTCCAGAACAACAATGTCGGCCTGTAGAGCTAGCTGCTTCTCTGAGGGTCTTAGCGTGAGCAAGAGAGGGCAAAAGGCAGAAGGAAAGAAACCACAAAACAGGAGACAGAGGAAATTCCAGGAGACAGGAAATTCTGAATGCTGGATCGCGGAGTCCTCACACTAGCATCATCGTCAGAAATAAACCAGGGCTGCGGTTCCTAAAGACTCTTCCAGGGCATTTCTGTGGGATCAGGCGCTCAGGAAAACTAGTCAAGGGGGTTCCCCAGACACAAAGGCCACACACTGTACGGTTCCAAGCACAGGAAATACAGGGAAGAGGCCAGCCCACAGGGACATGCGGGGGCTCAGTGCGGGATGGGCACAGTGTCCTTTTGGGGCCATGAAAAGGTTTTGGAATTAGACAGAAGTGGTGGTTGTACAACACTGTAAAAGTACCAAATACCACCAAATTCCAGACTTTAAAATGGTTCATTTTATGCTATGGCAAGGAAGGGAGGGAGGGAGGGCAGGAAGGAAGGAAGGGCGAGAGGGAGGAAGAAAGAAAAAGAAAGAGAGAAAGAAAGAAGAGTTTCAAGGGAAAAGAGGGATGTGTGTCCAAAATGAGGACAGCGGGGAGATGAGGAACCCAGGGTCCTGGAGACTTCACTGTCTCGGCAGAACTCCAGCTCAGGGCTCCACTGAGTTCCAGCTCACGAGGGTGACAAGGACAAAGGTGGACTGACTGGGGGAGGAGGAGGGGCAGAAAGGGCACAGGGAAGAGGGGGCCAGAAGCACTGGAAGAGGAGCACATTCAGAGCGGCTGGGGAGCTGCAGCTCGGGATTCACCACACCCTGACCCGCTCAGACATAAAGGGCTGAGAAACGCTGAATGAGAGCGACGGGGGGAGGGGCGGAGAGGTGACCAGCAGAGAGCACAAAAGAATATTCCTGAGAAAGGTGGAGAATGCCTCAAAAAGTGTTCTCACACACAGGAAGAGCGGATAGATTAGGAATGAACCTACTGGCTTGATACGTCCTATAAAAATAGAGCCAAAGTCACCAAGGAATGAATGAATGAATGAATGAACGAATGAGAGAAGGAGCGAGAGAAGGAAGAAGGGAGGGAGAGAGAAATTAGGCAGATACTGGAGTAGAAAATTACTTGCTGGTTCGTAAGGAATCTGACTTTCCGAGGATTCTGGTCGGCCTCAAGCAGAATCACTGTCTGGTTTGGTGCCTTTTGTTTGGGCTTAAGACCACGGTCTCTCAGAAACGGCCAATTCATTAGCATATTCAAGACAGGGAACTATTTATGGCCTGCCTTACTGGTCTGTTTTCGAAAGTAAACAGCAGGAGGCAGGAGACACCGAGCATCCAGGCGTCCATGTTCACAGCTCCTCCGCGTGCCGCCCAGGCCTTGGGGTGGGGGGGGACAGACTTTGCCTCCATGGGTGCTGGGTTGCCTCTCTACTGTAAGAGGTGGCTTCCTCCCCACAGTGGTGGTGGAGCAAGTGTGCTTCTAACTAGACCTGTGACTTAACCATCCGGGGTCTCAGTTTCCTGACCTGTAGAATGGGGATGACACCTACTGAAAGGGGTGTTACGAGGAATAAATAAGGTGGGAAATGTAATGTACCTAAGCAGGGTGTTGACTGTAGTAGGTTCTTGATAGAAGGTAGCTGTTTTTAATTAAACGTGAACATGTGGGGGTTGGGGAGGGCATTGAGGCCAGAGGGAGTAGCAGGGGGACAGAAGCCAGAGAAAGCATATCTCCCTGGGGGAGGAAGTAGAGAGCAGGGCTAGGTGAAGAAAAGGTAGGGGGATAGGGTATGTAATGGGCGAGCATCTGTAATAAGGGAGGCTGGACAGAGGCTGGGGACCCATCCTGCAAGGGGAAGGGCACTTCATTCCACACTGAGGCTCCGGGCTTGAGCCTGTGGGCAGGAGGGCAGCACGTGGAATCTCCCGTCCAGTCCCCTCTGCCATGTCACCATCAGCTATTCTTGAACCCTTTCATCCTCCAGATTCTTAGAAAATTTATAAACATCACCTCTTGGTCACTGGCCATCTTTTCTTTTTTTTTTTGAGGAAGATTAGCCCTGAGCTAACATCTGTCGCCAATCCTCCTCTTTTTGCTGAGAAAGACTGGCCCTGAGCTAACATCCGTGCCCATCTTCCTTTACTTTATATGTGGGACACCCACCACAGCATGGCTTGCCAAGCGGTGCCATGTCCGCACCTGGGATGAGAACTCGTGAACCCCGGACCGCCAAAGGGGAAGGTGTGCACTCAACAGCTGTGCCACTGGGCGGCCCCACTGGCCCTCTTCGATGAAGGCAACTCATCACACTGAAATGGCCTGGACACAGGAATGTAAACTGGTTAATGAATTCACGAATGTCTCAACAAACATCTGGGGGGTGAACATCTGTTCTGGACTCCATGTTTCCCCACAGACCCCGAGAGACAATGCTCCTGTTATCCACGGGCAGGCTGGCTAGCGGCTGCAGAACGTCGGGCCCCTATCTGGGGCTCTCGGTTTTCCCAAAAGCATCACCTCAAAACTCACCCTGAGCAAGGACAGAGAGCAGAGAAAATGGTGTCTTTATCACCTCCTAATCTTGATGCATCTACACCATTCCCAGTGTGAAAACAATATGTAGTACACAGTCGTTCACAGATAATAAGATAACCGGCCAGAACCTGTTTCTGCAAGAAAAAAGGTGGCTAGAAGCTTATAAAGTACTATCGTTACCAAGAAACTAAAACATTTTTTCTCACTTTCTAACTTTACAGGCTAAAAACAACTTCTCTGCCCTGCTTTTTAAGGGGGGAGATGTTGGAAAATACATTTATTTTGTCAAGCAGCCAGAGACTTGCAAGTACACTATTACGGGTAAATGGACTCCGGGGGAGCTACCTCCTGGCCCAGACCAGAAGCTGAAATGCTGGGATCCGATAGTGTCTGCGGGAGCCGGGGTCTGGGGAGGGGGCTCCTTCCTCAGCTCAGTAGGAAGTCGGGGTTCTAGACCACGAGCAAACGAAACCTGCCAACAACCGCCGTGGCTGGCCTGCTGTCACCCTCCGTCCTGCACCACGAGCCACTCCCGCGCCCAAGGCCCGTGCCGGGGCTGCTGGCACTGATTTTCCACTAAACGCGCCAAAGGACTGAGCTTTTCTCTACACACTCTCCTCGCCTGGAAAATGTGCAAGAAAAACAGTTCCAACAAAACTAAACTCCAGCGGGAGCGGTTCTCCACTTCGTATAGAAAAGACCAGGACGTTGATCGGTGGAGCAACGTGAGACCCCTTCTTTTTGGGGTGGTCCTGGGAGAAAGAGGCCACACAGTGGCAACAAATGCAGCGAGGAACGCAGGCTTCCCCTGGAAAACCCGCCCCCTGCCCCTCCGGATCCCGCAGCCCCGGGCTGGCCGGCTGCATCCCCCGAAACCGGCGCACAGGGGCCTCGGCCGAGCCCGCGAAGGCGGCGGGCGGGACGTGCACGCCCACCTGGCTACGACCGGGGAGGCTCGGATCGCAGCCTAAAAGCCTGTTTGTCTCCTGGAGGAAACTGAGGCAGAGGGTGCGGTCAGGGCCCCGCCTCGAAGAGAAGGCGCAACCTATACCCATTCAGTTCCCCCCGCGGCGTCCCTCCTGCTCCCGCCGCCCCATCCCAGGGGCCCCCGGCGGCGGGGCCGGAGGCAGGCAGGGCGCGAAGCCCAACCGGGGCGCTCTCACCTGGCCTGCGGCCCCGGGTGCGGGCCGACAGCAGGGGGCCGCACAGACTCAGCCCCGCGGCCACGAGCAGCAGCCGCCGCGGCCCCATTGTCCCAGGCTCGGCGCGGTGGCGCGGTGGCTCGCGCTGCTCCCGAGACTGTCCCGCCGCCGGAGGCGCGGCCCTGCTCTCTCCTCCTCCTCCCGGGGGGGGCCAGTCGGCAGGGCGGGCACAGCGCTCCCCGCGGGGCCAGGGCGTGGCGGCGTCTGGCGGCGCTCGGCCGGGCGCAGGGCTGGCGGCTCCGGCGGGGCGGGGCGAGCCGGGAAGGGCGCCCCCCGGTGCCGCGCCTGCGCCTCGCCGCCCGCCCCTCCACGCCGCCCCCTCCCCGCCGCTCCGCTGCCCCGGGGCTCGGCGACCTGGCAGCGCCTGTCGCGAGGTGCGCCGCCCGCCCCGCTGCCGGCCACTGCGCGTGGGGGAAGCCGAACGAGACGTTTTTTCCTCTGGGCACCTTGGACCCGCGAAGCTCTCGGAGATTCAGGCTGGCGGGGCCTTGGAACAGGGCCGCGAGGCCTGGGCGGCGGCTCCCTCGGCCTCTCCTTACCTCCCGGGGGCACAGACGGTAGCAGTGACCGTCTGATCAGGGTGCGCCCGGGGCGCCCGGCCCCGACCGAGACCTCGGTGCCCCCGGTGCACAGCGCCGTACCTCGGGCGAGCCCGCGGCCCGTTTGGAAGTTGGGGATTTAACTGAAAGTTTGAAAGTGACTTGTGTCTCTGCAACTTAGGGAGAGTGGATTAAGTTCACACGGTGGTGACAAGGCTGCCCCTGATGAGAAGGGGCCCTGCCTTTGGACAGAGTCCTGGATATTCCTTATTCGTTTCTCTTTATTTCGCCAAGTTAGACATCTCGTCCGTCGGACACTCATTATTTCACGGACACGCCGACCGCAAGTGGGACGAGCACCCCGGGCCCGAGAGCAGCCTCTCCTCCCCGCGCGGCGCGGCTGTCCCTTTCCCCGCCGCCAGCGGCTGTCGGCGCGCGCCCGTGGGAACCACTGTGCAGCCTTCGCCCGAGGCCGGTCGGCTGGGCTGGCTCTGTGCTCGGGCGCGAAAGGGGTGCCCAGAGGGCGAGGGGACCTGGGGACTCCCAGAGGCCCTGGGGACTCCTAGGGCCCTCACCCTCTCGCGGACGACAGTGTAAGAGTTTGAGTTTGGCCAAATTCAGGTCCCAGGGCGGGGGACGCCTCGCCGCTCCGGGGAGCAGCTCGCAGCCTGTTCTGTCTCGAGAGCATATCTGGTGGGTGCGTCTTCGAGACCACAAAGGAAACGGGTCCCCTCAACCGGCCGTTTCTGGGAAAGTTCGCCCGCAGCGCCTTGTGCCCTGAGATGGGCGGGCGTGTTCGGCCCCCTGCGGCTGATGAACTCCAGTGGACGTCACTGGTCAGGGCTCTCAGCTGTTTAACAAGGGAGTTTCGCCTTGAGAGGGGCATTCCCCAAGCAGAGCCCTGACAAACCAGTGGGGGAAATACAGCAGAGACTATCCGGTTCTGCCCTGCATTCCAGCATCCTCAGGGCACAGGGCCTGTTGTACATAGAAGTTGCTCAATAAATTACCGAATAACCCAACTATGTAACGCTATTTAAAAATTTTCCCCATTCGTTTCTCTGAGCAAAACATATCCAAGAGTAGACGTGAACCACTACAATTATATATTTCTCCACTCGCTATTGACTTATACCATTTTTCATCGATCCTAACCACCACTGATTTTAAGACTCATCATTTTAATTTATGTACCACAAGCAAGAAACAAACGCTGCCAATTAAACTGTGACATACACCTGACTGTGAGAAACATCTCAATTTCAGGATTGTTTAAACATAAAGAAAGGACATCTCAGAATCAATGAAATACAGTGTAAAATATTAAAGAAATCAATTCACATGGCAAAAAACTCAACAGTTCAAGGATATGAAATGAAAAGTAAGAATTCTTCAAACTCTTTTGAGTATCTTCAAAAATAGTGGTTTTAGCTTTTATCACACACAAATGCAGATTCCCAGACGCCATCCCAGGTCTGTGAAATCAAAATCTACATTTTTGACAAGCGCCTCCAGGGGATGGTGATGTCTGAGAGCTCCCGGAATATAGTTCAGAGAAAGCTTATTCTAAGACAGTGGTTCTCAAACTTCGGCAGGGATCAGAATCATCCGGAAGATTTGTTAAACCACAGTGCTGGGCCCCATCTCCAGAGTTTCGGATTCAGCAGGTCTGGGGTGTGGTCTGAAAACTTGCATTTTTAGCAAGTTCCCGGGTGATGCAGGCGCTGAAGCTGCTGTGTGTTTGCGACACACTGAAAACTACTGCTTTGAGAGGTAAAAAGAACTGAATGGGATTTCATGTAGTTTGTGAGACTTTCTTTAAGGTACACAATATTTCAAGCGTAGAGAAGTACAGAGCCTAATAGCACACCCACGGGCCCACAACGTGGCGTGAACATATACATGTAAATACACACACATCTTACACTGCTGAAGCTTTTTTGGTACTCCTCTATTCTTTTTCCTGCCCAGAAGACGAACTTTCTCATGCATGTTTTTGTACTTTTAGTACATTTGTGTTTCCAAAAAAGAAAATCAGTTTTGATTTGTATGTTTTAAATATTTGTACAAGTAACATACTGTAGGAATACTTGGGCAGTTTGCATTTTTCTAGATTTACCTGATTGATACACGTCTAATTCTTTCTTTTTAAACTCTTTATAGTGTTCTCTTGTATGTGTACACCTTATTTTATTCTTCTAAAGCTATCTATTTTATCTGCAGTTTTCTCCCCATTTTTATATCTTATATAGCATATTTTTGTTTTTTTCCTCGATGAATCTGCCCAAATTTTGGAAATGACCATTTTTCAATGCCCATCTTTTTGTTTTGTTGCTTTTATTATTTATTTTCAATGTCATTACTTTTCACACAGGCTTTTTATTATTTCTTTCTCTGACTTTCTTTGGACTTACTCTTTATTCTCCTAACCTTTTGAATGGATTACTTACCTTGTTAATTTTCATTCCTTGTCCTCCAATCACCACCTCAGCTGCATTTTACAAGTTTTGATATGCAATTCAGGTCTAAATATTTTGTCAATTTCATCATCTCTTCTTCATCCCATCAGTTATTGGAAGTTTTGACACACTTTTTGTGATTGAGTTCTCATTTTGTGTTATGGTCTGTTGGTGATGTTCTGTTTTCTGTTTTTTCCCCACACTCTACAAAGTTCCTATAACATTTGTGTGCTCTTTAGAACTTCTTGAAAAGGGTATCAATCTCTCGACTTCAATTTCTTCCATGTCACCCATACCAAAATCCCTTTGTTGCCAGTTCTAGAGCCAGTGTGCATTGGTTCCCTAGAGTAGAAAACCTTCCTGACTAGAGATGGCTACGTAACATGTCGCTGTCCCTCAGAAATGACACCTTGACACTGCAGCATCACCCAGGATGGACCACTCGCTGTTGGTTCCCAGTTTCATTTTCTCTGTTTGAACTTGCCTGGAACCAGTGGGAGTCATTAGCTACTTGTTCACAGTGTTTGTGGTATTTAGTAGTGTTTTTAAACGAACGTGACATCAAAATAGCAAAAACTTTAATCCCAAAATGGTATGAAAGTAGTTTCTTTTAAACCCACTAGATGATCTACCTGCTTCAGGCATTCCGGTCGCCACTCCTCTTTGGAGGTCCTCCAAAGACGACTGTGGATCCCAGAGTAATTCCCCTTTGAAGCTCACGGTGGGATATCTGGAGTCGTGTGAAATCAAATCAAACTGTACTCCAATCAGGTGTGTGAAACTCCAGATTCTGTGCAGATACGGCCACATTTGTTTTTCAGGGAAACAGCTCTGTAATCAAGTTACAAGCTAATCCGCAGGGGGCCTGGGTTTACCTTTTGTTGTTACAAATCTGCGTTGCTATTTTGGATTTAGAAGTAAAGTTAGTCTCTCATAGTGGGTCAAAAAATGTATTTTCAGTAGTTGTACTATGGATAGAATGGTAGACTCTGCCTACGGTTGGGGTGCTAAGAAAGGGTCAAATTCATTATCTCTTAAAAAGAAAACAACAACTTTTGTTGCAGTTCTATAAGGTGAACTCAATATCTTCTACTTCTCCTGGTCATTTCCCATTGGTGTTAGTCAGGGTTCTCCAGAGAGAGAGAACCGACAGGACGTATTATAGATATAGATACAAGAGAGGATTTAGTATAGGAATTGGCTCACGAGGTGATGGGGGCTGAGAAGTCCCCTAATCTGTTGTCTGCAAACTGGAGACCCATGAAAGCCGGCGGTATAATTCAGTCCAAGACTGATGGCCTGAGCACCAGGCAGTTGCTGGTGTAAATTCTGGAGTTCAAAGGCCTGAGATCCAGGAGCTCCAATGTCCGAGGGCAGGAGAAGATGCAGTCCCAGGTCAAGAAGAGAGAGAGAGAGAATTTGCTCTTTCTGCACCTTTTTGTTGGATTCCAGCCCTCAGTGGATTGGCTGGTGCCCGCCCATGTCGGTGAAGGCCATCTTCCTTACTCAGTCTGTGGGTTCCAGTGCTAACCTCTTCTGGAAACACCCTCACAGACACAGCCAGAAATGTTTTCCCAGCTATCTGGGCATCCCTTAACCTGATCACGTTGAAACATAAAATTAACCACCATGCCTTCCAATGTATTTTAGCTAAGAGATTTCATACTTGAAGGAAAACCAGCAAGGCAACCTAGAAAATCTGTATGAGCTATTTCATTTGAGATTGAGTTGAGAGCGTCCACATCATTAGACTGAGATAATCACTAACCACCCCACTCCTACAAGGGCCAACCTAAAGCAACACTGTGACTCCTGAGGGGCTGTGGGGTGGCGTCTGTCTCCTCTCAGCCCATCGCAGAACCGGCCCTGGGCCTCCGCCTCTTGGCCATTTACAAGACACTTCCCGGCTCTGGACTTCCGGCAGACAGTGAAGCAATCTCTGTCCTCTGAAGCTCAGAAGATGTCTTAGAAGGCTCTATCTTAACCTGTTACTAAGTCCTGGTTTCAGTAACAGAGGCAACAGATTTTTCAAAAAGCTGGTCAGCAGTAAGACCATCCAGGGCTCACCACAATCTCTCAAAATATAGACAGCTTTCGCCATTCAGAGGTCTGAGGTTTGCCTCTTCGAATATTTGAGGAATACTACAAATCCCTACTTAACCACAGCCCAAGTCATAAAAATTAC